ATATTCTGAAATTATATTTATCTCTAGGGATAARAATTAYAAAAATTCATAGGGGTATTACATTTATAGAAGAAAACTGGATGGCTGAATATATTAAATTRAATACRGATCTACGAACTAAAGCGGATAACGATTTTGAGAAAGATTTCTTCAAGCTGATGAATAACAGCGTCTTCGGTAAGACGATGGAGAATATTAGAAACCGTCAAGATATTAGACTTGCAACTCGAAAAGATCAGCTAAAGAAATTAACTTCGAAGCCYAACTTTAAAAGAAGAACAATATTCTCTGAGAATTTAATAGCGGTTCATATGGGGAAAACYCATCTTAAATTTAATAAGCCTATTTACGTGGGCATGTCTATTCTTGATATTTCTAAGTCGTTGATGTACGATTTTCACTACAACTACATAAAGCCTAAATATGGAAATAGAGCTGAATTATGTTTCACTGATACTGATAGYCTTCTATACGAGATAAAAACCGRYGACTTTTAYAAAGAYATCTATCCTGATTTAGAAGCAAAATTCGATACTTCAGCTTATGGTAATCACCCAGTTATTGATAAAAAAATTAATAAAAAGGTTATTGGTCTTATGAAAGATGAAACTTCAGGGAATGAAATTACAGAATTTGTTGGTCTGCGRGCGAAGTTATATGCTTATAAAACAGTTGAATATGTCGAAAAGAAATGTAAAGGAATTAAGAAATCTGTCGTAAAAGATACTATTTCTTTTGAAGATTATAAAGATTGTCTATTCACTGGGAAATCGCAAATGCGGAAAATGAATGTATTAAGATCTGAAGGGCATCAAATGTACGCCGAGAGTGTTAATAAGGTGGCTCTGTCTAATTTAGATGATAAAAGAATTGTATTAGAAGATAAAATACATACAAACGCTATAGGTTACGTCGCATTTTCTGGAGGTAGTTGAGCATCCAAAACCACCTGTAATTCTTCTCGAACGAAATTTCTTTTCGGAGCGCCTTCTGATAAATAATATAAAACCGGTTGATTCTCCGCAAAAACGGTTTTATCTATATTAAAAGTATCCAAAGACCAATTAGGATCTGTAGCTCTCTGGCTATTGCCACCCTCATATTCACCAGGCTGATATAAATACCTAACTGTTACGCCAGCCGGCAATCTTTTTTCTTTTAACCCAACCGGGATCTTTTATATGTTACGTGTTTTTCATCAACATTATTTAATTTAATAGCTTCTAAAGGGGTTTTACCTGTAATTCTTTTAACGCCGCTGTTAATAGATTTTATAACCGCGGGCAATCTTTTTACCCATTCGCGATTCCTATCATCACTTATCATTTCTTTGGCATATTGGTAGCTGAAAAGTTTTTCGGCAATAGTTTTATTAGCACGTTCAACTAAAGCTTGCGCTCTATGATTATTAGCTTCTGATCTTTGTATGTTGTATATTCTTGTAACTTCACCTTTGAATTCAGTGCCCGGATCAACTATAATAGTTTCTGGCTTTCGTAACTTGCGCGAATATATTTTTCCAAACGCTGCCGCAACTTCCGATGCGTATTTAGATTTCAGCGGCTCGGCGTCTATGTATCTGCTGGCAACATCGACAACTACTAAAGCGTATTTATATTTCTTATCGTGTGGTAGAAATAATAAATCAGCTTGATGAACTTGATTTACTTTTTCAATATTCCAATGCCATCTAGGAATATATTTCGGTCTAGGGAGATATATTTGCCATAGAGCCTGTTTCTTAAGCCATTTTTTAGTTATTTCCTTATCCACGCCGGTAACAGCAGATAATTTATCTACAGCAGCATAACCTTTCCAATATCCGTTTGTAGAATAATAGTTGTTTGAAAGCTTTTTATCATTCATATATAATGAACGTATCAGAAGTAGTATCAGAAGTATTAGACATAAACAGAGAGTCCAAAAGGCCTTTTGCTATTAAAGCTGAAAGAACGTTACATCGCGTTACTTTCAATCCAAGCAGCGCCAGCCCRGGAGAAACGCTCTATGTCCATTTACCTAAATTAAGCGACAATATGGTTTATGTGCCAGGCTCTGTGGGGCTTGTTTTCAATCTTACTTTAGCTATGGGCCAGGCTAATAATACATTAGTGAATAATATCGGTCGAAATCTAGTTTCGCGCAGAAAAGTATTGTATGGAGGCGAGATTCTAGAGGACACGAATCGTATCGATCTTTATTCGACGTACCATGATTTATTTCTAACAAAAAGTCAAAGAGAAAATATGCTTAGAGAAGGAATCTCATCAGCTAATATGAGAAAGCTTCGTACGGCCGCTGGAGATAAAGTATCATCAGACGCGGCTGAGGTAGCCCTAGCAGGTGTTTATGGCACCAAATATCGAATTCCWATACAACATCCTATTATAGATAACCACGGCGTATTTTATGCTAAAGCGTTGGATAATAATTTAACTTTTGAAATTACTCTTGCGGACAAGGGCATCGGCGTTACATCAGATAACACAAAAGATTATAGTTATTCTCTTTCCAATATTGAGCTGGAATACGAGTGTATCAATAGCAGTTATTTAGCTCAAGAGGCTTTGACGAATTATGGTGTTGGAAAAGGATTCTACTATGAAAATGTTCTTTTGCATAAGACATTTACTATYGCCAAAGCAWCGGAWTCGGTAATAAACGARCATGTGAATTTGCCGAGAAGATCTATGTCCGGCATTTTGATGTTATTTGTTGATCCTTATACCGCAGGCGGAAGAGATTCTGAAAAATTCGTCTATCCAAAAATTACAAAAGTTAATGTAAATGTGGATGGAATGCCTAATAAATTGTACAGCAAAGGAATGCTCCCAACAGACTTTTGGACTGCTATAGTTAATAAAATGGGCATTACGGATATTACGCAAAAAGACTTTTATACGAATAAGTTCGCTCTATGGATAGATTTGAGAACTTATTATGATAATAATATGCACGGAGGCGGTCTTGTGCTTAATAGGACGAAAGACGGCGTTAAGTTGGAAATAAAGAGAACGGCAAGCGGATCAGGTAATATTACCTGCTACATGTTTGTAGTGGCCGATGCCGTAATGGAGCTGGAAAATGCTAGCCTTAAGTCGATAATTTATTAAATATATGGATGATTTGAAAGATCGGATTCCTTTTCACTGCATAATAACTGGGCCTACTAACTGCGGCAAAACTGAATACTTAATAAACCAATTAAGGGGTGCATACAGATATGTTTTTAGCTACATAGTGCTAATTTGCCCCACATATGAAAATAACAAGACATATAAGAATTTCGCTAACGGAGATAAGCGATTCATTGTTATTTCGCCCGAAAATAACCAAGATGAGATTAATAATATTTTAGAAGATGTTGAAGAAGTATTTGGCGGATTAAATACATTAGTAATTCTTGACGATTGCGCATTTACAAAAGATTTAAAGCAGCGGTCAAATAAGTTTATAAGTCTTGCTTTTTCAGGAAGGCATAATAATATAAGCATGTGGGTTCTTACACAACAGCTGACGGCTATAGCGAAACCTTTTAGAGAAAATGTGGCCTGCATTATTAGTTTTTTCACCCCGAATAAGGTTGCAAATCAAACTCTTTTTGATGAATTTGGCGGCGAGCTATCAGCTGAAAGTAAAAAAGAATTTATGAAGATATTGAAGTCTGAAAAATATTCCCGCATTTGTTTTTGCCTCCGACATCCTTACAATTGTTATATTGAAATTCCTAATATATATGGATGATCCGATAATTGAACTGCTTGAAGAAGCGCCCGCCGAAACTCCGGTCGAGAGACCAGTAGAAACGAAAAAGAAGCGTACAACGAAAAAGCCAGACTCTCCCGAAGTTGAAGAGAAAAGAGAGCAGCTGTCTATCCTGGCTGTTTTAGGAACTATAGAAACTTACACGGGAGTTAAAATGTCTTTAGGTGATGTAAAAAAGCTTTCAGCTAAGGATGTTGAAACATATTATAATCGATATCAAGTCACTATGGGTAATCAAGTGAC